CGTAAAGCATGGCACACTGAACTATCGAGTAGTCATCAGCTTTGCTCTGCCAGACGTTCTTAACGTCGTCAGTTGCATCAGCAGCAGGCCTGGCACCCAGCGGTGCTTCCAGGACGTAACTTTTCTGTGCAGCAATGAGGATAATCCTCAGGTTACGGACCCAGTCCGTGTAATTGCTACCATCATCTTTCAACTTTGCTTTCTCAAGGAACGCATTAAAATTTAACGGAACAACAGCACGAGCCATCTATCTACAAGCAAACATAGACAAGCAAAATACTATCAGGTACTAAGTTCATGATAAATTTAAGTTCAATTAATCATATTACTTAAGAACTCCCACTTAGACAGACATCTCTCTAGTCATCTAAGTGATCACGTGATCCAAATCAACTAAACCATGTCCGATCATCACGTGAGATGGAGTAGTTTCAATGGTGAACATCACTATGTTGATCATATCTACTATATGATTCACGTTCGACCTTTCGGTCTCCGTGTTCCGAGGCCATATCTGTATATGCTAGGCTCGTCAAGTATAACCTGAGTATTCCGCGTGTGCAACTGTTTTGCACTCGTTGTATTTGAACGTAGAGCTTATCACACCCGATCATCACATGGTGTCTCAGCACGAAGAACTTTCGCAACGGTGCACTCAGGGAGAACACTTCTTGATAATTAGTGAGAGATCATCTTAAAATGCTACCGTCAATCAAAGCAAGATAAGATGCATAAAGGATAAACATCACATGCAATCAATATAAGTGATATGATATGGCCATCATCATCTTGTGCTTGTGATCTCCATCTTCGAAGCACCGTCGTGATCATCATCGTCACCGGCGCGACACCTTGATCTCCATCGTTGTCGTTACGCCATCTATTGCTTCTACGACTATCACTACCGCTTAGTGATAAAGTAAAGCAATTACAGGGCATTTGCATTTCATACAATAAAGCGACAACCATATGGCTCCTGCCAGTTGCCGATAACTTCGGTTACAAAACATGATCATCTCATACAATAAAATATGGCATCACGTCTTGACCATATCACATCACAACATGCCCTGCAAAAACAAGTTAGACGTCCTCTACTTTGTTGTTGCAAATTTTACGTGGCTGCTACGGGCTTAGCAAGAACCGTTCTTACCTACGCATCAAAACCACAATGATAGTTTGTCAAGTTGGTGCTGTTTTAACCTTCGCAAGGACCGGGCGTAGCCGCACTTGGTTCAACTAAAGTGAGAGAGACAGACACCCGCCGGTCACCTTTAAGCAACGAGTGCTCGTAGCGGTGAAACCAGTCTCGCGTAAGCGTACGCGTAATGTCGGTCCGGGCCGCTTCATCTCACAATGCCGCTGAACCAAAGTATGACATGCTGATAAGCAGTATGACTTATATCGCCCACAACTCATTTGTGTTCTACTCGTGCATATAACATCAACGCATAAAACCTAGGCTCGGATGCCACTGTTGGGGAACGTAGTAATTTCAAAATATTTCCTACGTACACGCAAGATCATGGTGATGGCATAGCAACGAGAGGGGAGAGTGTCCGTCCACGTACCCTCGTAGATCGTAAGCGGAAGCGTTATGACAACGCGGTTGATGTAGTCGTACGTCTTCACGATCCGACCGATCCAAGCACCGAACGTGCGGCACCTCCGAGTTCAGCACACGTTCAGCTCGATGACGATCCCCGGGCTCCGATCCAGCAAAGCTTCGGGGATGAGTTCCGTCAGCACGACGGCGTGGTGACGATGATGATGCTCTACCGACGCAGGGCTTCACCTAAACTCCGCGACGATATGACCAAGGTGGAATATGGTGGAGGGGGGCACGATCCGTAGATCAACTTGTGTGTCTTTGGGGTGCCCCCCCCCGCCCCCGTATATAAAGGAGCCAAGGGGGAGGAGGCGGCCGGCCTAGAGGGCGCGCCAAAGGGGGGAGTCCTACTCCCACCGGGAGTAGGACTCCCTCTTTCCAAGTAGGAGTAGGAGAAGGGGGGGAAAGAGGAGGAAGAGGGGAAGGAAGGGGGGGCGCCGCCCCCCTTCCCTTGTCCTATTCGGACTAGGAGGGGGAGGGGCGCGCGGCCCCCTCCTGGCTCCTTCTCTCTTCTCCCTCGTGGCCCAAGTAGGCCCATCAACCCCCCGGGAGTTCCGGTAACCTCCCGGTGCTCCGGTAAAATGCCGATTTCACCCGGAACCATTCCGATGTCCAAACATAGGCTTCCAATATATCAATCTTTATGTCTCGACCATTCCGAGACTCCTCGTCATGTCCGTGATCACATCCGGGACTCCGAACAAACTTCGGTACATCAAAACTTATAAACTCATAATGAAACTGTCATCGAAACGTTAAGCGTGCGGACCCTACGGGTTCGAGAACTATGTAGACATGACCTAGAACCATTCTCGGTCAATAACCAATAGCGGGACCTGGATGTCCATATTGGTTCCTACATATTCTACGAAGATCTTTATCGGTCAAACCGCATAACAACATACGTTGTTCCCTTTGTCATCGGCATGTTACGTGCCCGAGATTTGATCGTCGGTATCCAATACCTAGTTCAATCTCGTTACCGGCAAGTCTCTTTACTCGTTCCGTAATGCATCATCCTGTAACCAACTCATTTGGTCACATTGCTTGCAAGGCTTATAATGATGTGCATTACCGAGAGGGCCCAGAGATACCTCTCCGACAATCGGAGTGACAAAACCTAATCTCGAAATACGCCAACTCAACATGTACCTTCGGAGACACCTGTAGTACTCCTTTATAATCACCCAGCTACGTTGTGACGTTTGGTAGTACCCAAAGTGTTCCTCCGGTAAACGGGAGTTGCATATTTCTCATAGTTACATGAACATGTATAAGTCATGAAGAAAGCAATAGCAGTATACTAAACGATCAAGTGCTAGGCTAACAGAATGGGTCATGTCAATCACATCATTCTTCTAATGATGTGATCCCATTAATCAAATGACAACACATGTTATGGTTAGGAAACATAACAATCTTTGATTAATGAGCTAGTCAAGTAGAGGCAAACTAGTGACTATATGTTTGTCTATGTATTCACACATGTATCATGTTTCCAGTTAATACAATTCTAACATGAATAATAAACATTTATCATGATATGAGGAAATAAATAATAACTTTATTATTGCCTCTAGGGCATATTTCCTTCAGGAACCTCCATCAAGCATCGTGTGCACGGGTCGCCGCCGATCTGAGCCGCCGCACATTGAGAAGGTCGCATCGGCCAGATCAGATCTGTCCGGAGGGCAAACCACACATGGCGCCGACCCAACCACCAGGCCCTCCATGCCGCCACCGCCGAACCGAGGTCAGATGGTCCATCGCCACCGACCCGGCCCCCGCAGCCGAACGCAGCCAAGGCCGCTGCCCCAAGCAGGGCCAGCCGCCGTACCCGCCACCATCCGCCCTAGGCCGAGGCGGCCGCTAGGCAGGCCCGCCACGACCCCAAGGCTAGATCGGTCGTGCCTCCAAACACCGCGGGGCTCCACACCGCCCCCATGGCGCAGGAGAGAGGGAAGGCCCCCAACACCGCCGTCAGCCCCCGGGCTGTAGGCCGGCAGCGTCCTCCGGCGGCGGCGGAGGGAGGGGAAGAAGGACGGGGAGCCCTGACGGCTAGGGTTGCGTCCCGCCTGAGTCGTCCGAGCGGGGGCGACGCGGGGGGCGCGGGGTACTGGACTTTGTCTGTTGTGGCGTTTCCCATTTGACCGTTGAAGATCCCTAGTCCTTCCGTGTGGAGTGTTGTTTGTAGGGACTCCACGGGCAAGTACTGGGTAACTACAACAATCAAATGTCAGGTATAACCGACCCTTCTTCCAAGGAGGCTATGGCATGCCGGGAAACGTTGGCACTCGCCCTTGGATGTGGTGATTAACCCAGAGTGCCAAGGAGTGGTCAATGGTATTCATAGCGGTACAGGTGGACTGTGTGCAAGCATCATCAAGAAGATCAATCATACGTCGAGGAAGATAGCTCGTTGTTCCTTCAACTTCAAAGGAAGAGAAACTAATCTCGACGTACATATACTCGCTAAACACGCTCTAGGCTTTTCTTTAGGACGACATGTGTGGTCCCTTAATATTCTAGACCTAAGTTGTATCCCCATGAAGTTGTTACTTGATCAATAAAATTGAGTGTCTTTAGAGTAAAAAAATGTGGGGCCTTTTCTCCTCTCTTTTACCGTTAGAAAATTTTGGGAGTAGATCCGTGTTGCCGGCTTGTCTCCAGTATGCCTTATTTTCTTATTTCACCTTTTAATTTTCAGTTCTAATTTGTTTTATGTTTCTTTTATTTTTATACTATTTTGTCCATGTTCATACGACGAATACAAGTGTGCGATTTCAGTGTGCTTATGTTTTTGTTATGCAAACACCCACAAGTGTGTGATTTCATATCTATCACATTGTAACCCAAGTGTAACTGCATGGACACAAAACAACGGCAACCGGGGTTGGGAGGGGTATTGATGGCCTACTAGGCATGCAACTATAAGCGTTGTAACTTAATTGCAACAAAAGTGACATCAACTAGGGCCAGAAGGGGAGTTGTCGACGCCGGTTGCATGTTGACCACTACATGCAACTGCAAATGTTGTAACCCAACTATACTCCAAGGGCACAAACCGATTGATTGCCTTTGGTTTTTGTGCAAAAGGTCCTAGAAAGCACATGAGCACATCTTGTGTGTGTCTGCGCGCGCGTGGTGTTATTCGTGCAAAGTGTGTCTACATGCACTTTGTAATATAGAAAGTTTTACTAGTACATAAAAGTCCTAGTATATGTTCGTTGGTTGTTGACTACCAAGAAAGGGTAGAATAACAAAGCCAATTTCCGCCAAAGAAAGACCTAAAAAAATATTAACCTAATCTAACAAAGATTCAGAGTCGTCCAAGCGTTACCAGTCTGAAGATGAGGTGCAGATATTGATACACGTGTATCTTAACTACAGATCATTTGGCACGCATGCCGGCATTAGATATCACTTGATTATATGGGAACGACATCTAGCCATGCCAAATATGTTTATCATTAGGCAAGTTTTCATACATTAATCGTTCACATATATGTTACAAAATTACAAATCATAGAGAACCTTGTATTCCGCAGACGAGACAAGCTCGGTAAGTTTTGAACATGAATTTTTGGTGGTGGCAATTGGAGGCTGGGTGTATGGGCCTCTTAGCAAACCATCAGCAATGGCCCTGTATGACGTTTCTGTGGGATGCAAGCCATCCCAAGATGCATACTTTTGTGGGTTATCACACACCTTGTATTCTCCATGTCCACACTTTGTGGTTACTGAAACACCATAAGGCCCTTCTACACCGCAGCAAGCCACCAAAGGATCCTCGATCCCTAAATAGCAGTTATAGCAAACAAGAGCCGGGATTAGCATACGCATATCTTAGTAGAGAATGTTTTTCTTGACCTGCCAAGTGGTTTCATGTGTAAACCATAAAGTTCTAGACTCACCAAACAGATAAGGGGAAACAAATATCTCCATAGCAGCTCCATAGTAATCAGCATAGATGATCGACACACTAGGATGAAGTTTCCGTAACTTTTCCAGCTCATCCACAAGAAGTTTGTTGTGGTAGCGTGAGAACTCGTTCATCCAACGGATACATCCCGTGTCTGACTCATAATCCCCCGTGTCATCACTCTGGTACATCGTGAGGTACACTGGCAAGCACCCGATTGGGAGGTTGCCGGGAACTAATAGAGTTTTGGCTCCCAATCCGATCAGATCCTGCAAATTGCACTTCGTTATACTGCATTATTATGTAGTTATGAACTATTTCTGTAATTGGGATTTGACATAACAGCGTGGTAATGATAGCATAAGGAGCAACAAACAACAAATGACTCACCGTGATTATAGATGAAATTTTGGAAATAACACTTGGAGCGAACGAGCGAATCTTCTCAACAGGCACCAAAGAGGTAAGAGGAACATTGTAGTCATTTCCCCCAATTTCTCCAACCAAGAAAAGAGATTTGTTCATCATGCCCACACAGTCTATTGAATAAACACGTTACTCTATCAATGTGCAAAGATAACATCTTAATTAATTTAGAAAATGCACGCTATAACTTGTATGGCATTTTGCGAAGGGTGACGCTGAATTTTATAGCATGCTATTTTTCAATTGTTTTGATACAGCGGCCACCGGACCTGGACACCGCTTGCTTGTTGGTGTTGTGGCAAGATGAAGTAGTGGACTCAAGGCACCATCGTCACACGCTGCGTTCCACATAACGAGGAGAGGGCGCAACTCTTGAGCCCGGCGCACCGCTCCCATTTCCACCGCTACCACGTCTGCCAGCTGCACAGATTCCAACTTCTACTGTGGACCACTGTAGTGTCGAGGGCGCCCGCACGAACTCATCCAAGGTCAAGGCACTCAGAGTCTGCATACGCACGCGCGGCTTATGCTTCAAGTGCGGCGAGTGGTGGGTGCATAACCACATGTGCCCTAGGCCCCTACCATAGTTCAACTTCACGTCGTCGAGGAATTACTCGAGCTCGTCAGCATCACCACGATGTTCGACGAGTAAGCAGTCCCAAACCACGACCACAACTGCGGAACTGCAATGGCCATGTCTCGCCATGCACTCACCGGCAACGCTTCTCCTCGCGCATTCCAACTCCATATGCGTGGATCCAGGGCCGTGAAGTGCTTATGTTGGTGGACTCAGAAAGCTCAAGATCGCTCCTGGATAAGCAGTTAGCAGGTAGATTAATCGGTACCAACCCACTCAAACAACCAGGGCGAGTTAAAGTTGCGGGCGGAGGCGTATTGTATTGCTATTCACAGGGGCACGAGTTTGTGACTGACATAAAGATCATACCATTGGGCACCTATGACACGGTAACCGGAATGGACTGGCTTGAGGAACACAGTCCAATGCTAGTAGATTAGAGTGGCAAGAATATTTCAATTGACACAGCTAATGGCATAAGTTCTCTCAGTGGCCACCCAACAACAGTCACTTGCCAAACAATCAACGGCGTGCAACAGCACAGTCTGTGCCGCCAGGGCGCAGTGTCACATATGGTACTCCCCAATGCATTCAGATATTTTGGGTGGAGGTTCAGACAACAACGATAGAAGCGACTCCCCAATGCATTCAGCAAGTACTCATCGAGTTCCAATCACTATTTGGGGAACCATTGGGGCTTCCTCATTGCAGTTGTGATCGTCGTATTCGTCTGGTCCCAGGAGCTTAGCCACTTAACATCCGCTCCTACCGACGCAAGCCAGAGCACAAAACTGAGATAGAACATCAAGTGTCATAACTATTACGCACGTGCGTGATCAAGCGCAGCACTAGTCCCTTCGCCTCCCTGTCATCTATGTTAAAAAGAATGACGGCACATGGCGCTACCGCGCTAGCGCATTGACTACTGCTACCTCAACGCCATGACGGCCATAGCTAAATATCTAGTAACGATCATCTAAGAATTACTAGGCGAGCTCAGTGGCGCAGTCTGGTTTTCCAAGTTGGACTTCCGTGCCAAATCAGAATGGCAGCCGGGGATGAGTTCAAAGCTACCTTGACGAGCCCCGGGAAGCAGACGGTTCGAACGACACTCAGCCCTCGATGAGCCCCAGGAGGCCGGTACTCCAGCATCCTTTGTAGGAGTAATGAATCGTCAGCCTATACTATATTGGTTTTCTAGTCATTCTGTTCTTATTTTGTCCGGACAGAAATCAACATTAACTACGACAAAAAATACTTGAATGAATGCTTGTGTTAAAATATGGATAAATGGGACGGTGGAGTTTGTTATTTGCTCGGGTTGAGATGGGATGGTGGAGTGTATGTATATAGTGGAAAACGAAAGAAGCACTAAGTACAAATAAAGGTTTGTGTGTCATTCATTCTCTCATGCTCTATTGGTTGGGCTTTATGGCCAGCTTCTTTGTAGCAGAAAGTTGAAGAACAATCAGCTCACATCCAGCCAGATCGTACGCAAGAACATCTAAATTAATTTATCTCTGAATAGAAAGTTTGGGACATTACTTGCAACAACGAAATTTGATGAACATTGTCTGCATCTAATGGGTGGCCCTGAAATGCCTGCATTATTATCTGGTTATCGGGTTCTCTTGAAGAAATATCATTCCATAATCTAGATTGCTCAAAGTTCCCAATTAGAAAATGAGGGCAAAGGGTGCTATCGTACTAGCTTAGAGAGCATGCACAAGAGGGAGAAGACGTGGTGATATGATCAAATTACCTTCAATAACTTCAATTATTGGCTGCTGCCTACGACCAACTTGTTGTTGTCGGCTACCCGCTGAGCGCCAGCGATCAGCCGCCACGATGGGCATCAAGAGACGAGAATAAGCTGTTTCCACAGTTAGAAAAGCGAACCGTGTAAACGAGAGTACAAGGTGCGTGCATTGCTACGAGCCATGAAGTCCAACAGTGGCCCTCTGGTGGATGCCATCACATTTACTTGTGGGCATATTTAACTTTTGACCGTCATCTCTAATTTGTTTCTTCTTTTGATGGCTGACTGTCATCTCTTTTTAAATATAAAATCGCGGGAAATGCCTAGAGTTATATATATCATTTTTGGATGATACTCACAATGTTTTGAATAATTTCTTACATGCCCGTATGTCAGTATCGTGATAAATTTTTAGCTGAAACATCAAGAGCTCGAGAAGTCAACTACCATACCACGTCCGATTTGGCCATTCTCTACCTCCCCAGTCTAGAGAATAATCAACTGTAGTCGCTCCTCTGATTCAGACCTCATGTTATCTATTGTGTACATCTTGGAGATGGAACACCACTAGGCCTAGAGCAAAACTTTCGTTTCTTTCATGATGCATCGTATTCCCAAAAGCAGGCGTCTAATGTCTTCTCTTGTATGTTGTTCTGATCCTTCGAGCTAATGAGGACACTACCTCAATGTTTTTGGTTCTGCCCTTATGGTCTGCTTAAGTAATAACAACAGTGTATGCATGTGAGTATGTTGGTTGGTCTTTCTAACACTTGAGTGTTCAAGAATGGAGGGTCAATATACATATATGCAAGCATACACGATATTATAAGCATGTTTGAGGGTTGGTGTGTGGGACTATAGCATTTTTATGTCATAAATTGTTTCTCGGTTATAATCCCGCTACCCATCATAACTTGCATTTAGTGTGACTTGCACGCTTCTAGCTTGCATGATTCACACTACCTCGTGCACATATATTGGATGGACTTGACTACTTCCTTGAGATGTGGAGAGGTGAGAGATTTCCCTATATCTAATCTAACAAAGAACTAGTAAGAAACGAAAGAATGCATCTCCATTTACGAATTTACATCTACTTAGGTATGTTTTTAGCAAGAGAATGAGAATCGAATGCTAAAATTCAAATGAAGTTAGGGTCAAACCATCCCCAAGTATGCTAGTTTTCCATTAAAAAAGTGTCAGGTTTATAAAAGAAGCTGAGTAGATTGGTCCTGGCTTAAGGATATGGATCTCTAGAGCCATCCAGTCATACTACGAATTTTGATAGGATGATAGATTGGTCACGGCTTAAGGATGTAAATGTAGCCATCCAGTCATAGTTTCATACTACAATTTTGTACTGGATGACTGTCGGTTGTGTGATTAGCCTGAAACAGAAAGTGTGTTTTCACATTATCAAATACTTAATGATTAATCTATGAGAAAAGATGATGATCTTTAAATTGTTGTTCGTCTATGCGATTGGCACTTACATTGTCTTTATGACATGTTATTATCAAGGAAAACTTTAGGTCTTCCTCCTGGTGGTTGCATGGAGGTTAAAAAATATAGGCATGGCAAAGACTCTTGTTGCATCTGGGATGATAATTCAAGTTTTTGAAAACATTTTCTCTAAGTTTCTTTCTGTATTATTTTCTTCTTTTAGGATATTACCAATGCCCCTTTCTTGTGTGAAAATAATACCAATGCCCTTAACTCATTATATCTTAGAATAACATATATGAGATGTCGAGTTTATTATGGCATTGGCACAAGTGCATTTTTGTTGTATAGAAATGACTTTTTCTCACTTTTGTTTGTCTCTTTTATTTTACCTTTTTGACACAAGTGCCCTTCCATTGTGTGGAAAGGGTCTTTTCTCACTTCTCTTAGTCTTTTTGCTTGCCTTTTTTTGGCACAAGTGCAATTTTGCTTGCCTAGCTGGTCCAAAGTCATGTTATTCTTTTATAGAGTTATTTTTCATGGCCCAAAACAATTTACCACAATAATTAGAGATAAAAATTGGGGCCATGTATAGCTACCACCATGATGGGTAGCAAATTATTTCCGTAACATATATTTTCATTTTTTATTATAACTTTAGTATAATTTTTTACTGATAACAATGAAGTGAGTGACAAAAAAATTGGTTCTCATTTGTGCTAATGTTTCTGGATCCTTTTTGTTGCTCCGTTCATATTTGGCCTTTGAATCACCACCGCCCACTGTATTTCTTGCGGCATCGGTTTGATGATGCAATCATGTGCCACTAAATTAATTTTGTATTAGGATTTAAAATGATTTTTATTTTAACTAGTCCATTTAAATGTTCATTATTATAACTAATCCATTTAAAGTGTGGAGGACGGGAACAAGAAACCATTTCAACGCTTGGCTTGGCTAGCGGGGCCAGAGGATATCATGTGATTCTTTCCTTTACGTTGTTTTCATGCTATCTACTATGCAAAAGTATGGTAAAAAGTTAAATAAATCTGAACATCAATTACCGAAAAAGGCATTCGCCCCGCTTTATATATAAAGCATTGACCAGAAGACAAATCCGGGTACAACACGCAACCCCCCCACACCACACACACCCAAGGCAAGATACAAGGGTGCCGATGCACCGCAACACTACCCAATCGACCACCAAGCACACTATAACACTTGGGGCCGACGAGGACCTTCCGAGACCTAGCCACCGAGAAGAAGTGAAGCGGGACAATGGCGAAGCCTGGACTCCAAGGCGGTGCCTTCAAGAAGGGC